AGAAGCATGTGGAAACAAGGAGTTCGCGATCATACCCTGTCTACAAATAATTCATTATCCTTCACATAACTACAGTGTGTTGTCTATAAATGAAGGAAATCAATATGACGACTATAAACAAGCAACAAATGTAACAACCTCCTCACATTCAACATCATATAGTCTGCAAATGAACACAACCCCATGTCAGTCAATGTATACGGGGAGAATATGCAATGAATGCAATTCACCTGGAAGCCAAACATCGAGGTACATATGGGTATACCAACTCATTGACAAACAACAAAGTCATAAATAAATACACACAGTGCCGTATGTGATGTTCATCATGATGTCTGCACTTAATATTAACATACAAACAAGCATATTGGATCATGCAAGTAATGACAAGTAAATATTGTACATCTGCCATATGTACAAGACATCTACATATCTACGAGTTGTCGTAACAGAAGGCAATGAATGCTACGACACCTTTATATCAACATCACTATTCAATGTTAAGCAAACACATTGATTCGCTGCAAGTGAAAACGAAAGATATACAACATATATACGCTCTTATGAACTGTCGTAGGAGACTTGTTATACATTCAATGCATCATCCCCAACAAAATGTAATATGGCTACATCAAGTATAAATGACTACGTGGGCCCTAACAAGCGTGTTTTTGATACACACGTGACGTTTAGGGAAGCTGCGCGGGCTAAATGATGAATCTAAGTTCGAACCCGATCATTCTCAACACAGTTCGAACCATTAAATAAATATGTGGTCATGAGGTCGATCAAGATATTTATTTTATACATTCATATTAGGCCTTCAAGGACTTTTATAAGAAAAATTAATCGATAAAATCATTCACCCGCATGGGCCCCGACGAGCGTGTTATTGGTACACACGTGACACCTAGGGATGCTATGCGGGTCAAATGGTTAGTCCAAGTTCAAGCCCAATCCTTCTAAGCGGGGTAGATGGAAGTTGACATGGCTCAAACCATTAAATAAATATGTGATCCCGAGATCGGCCGGGATATTTATTTTATATATTCTTATTAGGCTTTCATGGCCTTCAATAAAGAAAACTCGCCAGCAAAATCATAAAGCCTACGAAACCTGATCCTTTGTCGACAAGTTGACAGAGTCTACAAGGTTCGATCAGTTAGCAAGAATGATCCGAAATACCCCGATTTTGATCATGTTGAATGTTTATCTTAACCGGAGGGATTCACAAACACTTTCAAATGCATTCCAAGCTCCACCCAAATGCCCACAAAAAATTAAAAAAATTCTAAAATCCAAATATTCAATCAAATCACTTAAAGCAAAAATCCATCCACCATCCGCAACTGTTTATCGAGGTGGACAAAATCGAATGTAACATCAACTCACATGGAGCTAAATGCCTAATCAAAAATATCACTAGAATTCATTCTCAAATAATCTCATGACAGTAAGGACGTGTAAAGTGTCCTCTGACCGGCAATTTTGCCGCTAAATGGCACCGCAGGATAAACGTTTATGACCCGAGCCCCTCTGAACCGAGTGATTTTGCCGTCAAATGGCACTACGAAATACTGGTTATGGCCAGAGCTAATACGTTCCTTAGTGGCATCAAATTCTTATGATATGAATCAATAGGATATGATCGATAGAGCACAAAGCCCTCTATTAGCTAAGGTGTATTCAAATTTGTCCATTTAGACAAACATTCATCTTAGGTCTACAAGGTTCCCTTGGACGAAGCAACCCATGGCTGCCACAAGGATCATTCTGTTAGGTTGGGTCGACTACCATAGGATCTTGATCGGGTCCATCATCCATTCCCCCACCATACACTTTAAATACAAAATGATGAAATTTTTAATTTTAAACATCAAATCTTCAAACCCTTCAAACCTCCAATATCCTAAGCTCATACTGCTACTATATGTCAGATACCATATATCTATGGATACAACGTATTCACTCGACGACTAGCCTTAGTCGAAAGTTCTCTCTCATTATTAGGAGGGGTAATTAACTATAGGGGCTTGCGCCTATAAGAAACCAGAACTCAGATCATGAAGTCCTCATATAATGAGAGCAAAATCTCTTGGTAGTGTCTTATCTAAAAACGCATTTGCCTTCCAAAATTTACCCCGGAACTTAAATCCGTTAAAACTCCTCCCGAAGAAAGCAACAGCGGGCAGAGCCCTAGCCAAATTTTCGGAGCCCACAACTCTCTTTTGTTTAGACAGTTTTGTTGCATCCCATCTAACAGATTGTAGCCAGTATCATGCCATTGTGCTTCTCATGTATAAATTGTACAAAAAATCAAAGCTCAAATTCAAGTAAATCATTGTTATACGTAATTCTTGACAAGCGTCACATTAGAAAGGGGGGTCCGCTTTTAATTGTGGAGTTATTTCTTTTCATAAGCATTCACGCAAGAGATGTAAATACTGTGTCCCTTAGATACAAACCTGTAAGTTTAATAATCAGCATGCAGTTACCATCTAGAACCCACTCCCAGAACTACTGCCACACAAATTGGATGCATGTATTTAGGTCCAACAAATGTCTTATTTTGCCTCCGATGTCAGTCTTTTTCAATTTACCAAGTAACTATCTGCATTACTTAAATGTTAGGTTTATCTTGACAGATCAATTTATTATCACTACAAAAAAAAGAGGACAGAAATTAAGGTGCTTGAAACTATTTACCTCCAGAGATTTAATCAACCTATTGTTTTGCTGGTCATCATCATGTTTCTTCATAAGATCATATAACTTCCCCTGGTAAGCAACATTGATTTCTGAAATTATTTCAGCAGGTAGATCCTTAATGACACTCATATCAAGATGACTAACAGGTGGCAGTTCTGAACTAGCATTTTCATAAGAACTGGAATTGAATAAATTAACATGCAATGCATCTGAACAAGCAGCAGCCCTGTCAAAACACAACTGCGAATTTTCATGAAGCTTCCCATGGTGTTGCAAGTCTAGCAGGTGTTCTTCACTAGAAGACGATTCTGTAAATAGCAGGAAAAAAATTTTCATCACTGGACAAGAAATATACTTCACCTATAAAGCATATGACAATAGGAAGAATGAGAAATTTTAGAAAATGAAGGGTAGAATCCCCAAGAGGATTTTCTGGCACCCACAAAGTCAACACATTTTCTAATGCAACCTCTAAAACATAAAGGTGCAAAGTGTATGAAGCTGATGCGGGCCAACATCACATCTTATTATATATAAAGAGAGATTGTTGTTCGTTCGGGAAAAAATCCAAATGGCCTGAACCCCATTTTCAGGTCAGGTTCCAATCTTCAAGAAGTTAATTAATTTTTAAATAATCAGATTTCCTCTGATGATGATGCATATATCAAGGTTTATTTAGAACTGAGGAGTCAACTTCCTATGAGCGCATGCCCTCATAGTTAATTACCCCTCCTGCACGTGAAAGAATACTCTCAATAAAGGATGGATTACTTCAATATAATTTTCAATTTAAGCATTGTAATCTAAGATTTGTTTCGATTGACAGGAGATGTTTATAGATGATAGAAGTAAACCCGATCAAGATCCCATGATTTCGTCAACTTGAAAATATAAACGATCCCAGTCTACCAAAATTAATGACCCATAGTTCATATTGTCCAAGGAATCTGATTAGCATACATGAGTTACCCCCTTTCAGAGATCCTGAATAGACTGAGGTGATTGAGTGTAGGCTTTGACTTAGGATGAGGCTTATTAATCTATTTAGGAATTGCCCGTTAATTTGTTTGAGGATCGGACTTATTGTTCCCTTTAAGAGTTGCCCGCATGCAATTAAAATGGGGCTTATATCCATTGGGAAGTTCAAGTTTTTTTTTTTCTTTTCGCTTTGCATACTCATTCTTCGGTTTTAATATGAATAAATTTTAAATACTTGAGAGATGTCGAATGGATTTTAAGGTAGCATTCTAATCTATATATACTTCTTTTAAACATGGTTTAAAATTGCGCAATATG